GACATAGTAAAACAGGTCAATATAGAATGCCTATTATATGCGGATGACCTGAAGATATTTCTTGAAATTAAATCTCCTGACGATTGCCATGTTCTTCAGCGGAATTTAGATTTAATAAATGAGTGGTCCATCACCAACCAAATGCCGTTGAGCAAGGATAAATGTTGTATTAAAACGTACTCCAGAAAGTTATCCCTAATTAGTTTCAATTATAGTTTGCAAGGAGTTGATTTAAAACGACCTGAATTCATTCGAGATCTTGGAGTTACATTTGACTCAAAACTTAGTTTTGTTGAACACATCAAGATAATAGAGGACTCAGCTAACAAATGTCTGGGATTTGTCATCCGCAACACCAAAGAATTTCAAGAAGTTCACATAGTGAAATTGTTGTATTTTGCTTATGTCCGCTCCCGACTTGAGTACTGTTCTGTGGTTTGGAGTCCTATTTATCAGGCTCATATCAGCACACTAGAGAGAATTCAGCGCCGTGCTTTAAAATATATGCTGTATATAATTGACGGCTTATATCCTCTTAGAGGAGTGCCGAATCAAACTCTGTATGAACGTCTCAATGTCAAGAGCTTATTGTCTAGAAGAAGCAATGCCTACATTATAATGTTGCATAATATAATTAGTTACACAATTAAATGTGAAGATTTGATTGCTATGATTGGACTAAGAACACCTACTATGAATGTAAGAAATTACTTCTTATTTGAGCAAAAATTTCCTAGATCTAACGTGATGAAAGCGTCCCCGTTTTATCAAATGCTAGAAAGCTATAAAAAATCTCAATGTAACATTGATATATTTAATTGCAAACTGAGAGAGCTAAAAACAGGAATTAAGAAATAAAAGAAATTTGCGAAATAACTGATCCGCACTAATTGTTGTATTTTGTTCTAGAATATTTTTGGTATGATTCATCTTTTTATTTAATCTCTTTTTTTAGATATATTCACCTTCAAATAATTTCAATTCTTCAATTTTTTCTTTTTTCAATTTTTTATTTTTTTTTTCTTTTTTTTTTCTCGCCTCTTCGTTATTGGGCACTCAGCCTGTTAAGAGGCGTAATCATAATAATAATAATATTAATAATAATATAATTAATACCAAGAATTATAGAAAATACATCATCAAAGATCCGAACATAAAAAACGACTGCTGTCGCCTATGCAAAGCAAAACCTGAAACGATCCAGCACATAATCTCTTCTTGCAGCATCCTAGCACAAACTGATTACAAAGCTAGACATGACAACGCAGCCAAAATCATTCACAAAGAATTAGCAACACTTATGAACTTAATCGAAGATACGACACCCTATTACACTTACATTCCGTCTCCATTCCTTGAAAATAGCAAATACAAATTATACTGGGATCGCACAATACTTACAGACTTAAACATTACAGCTAACAGACCAGACATCATACTTATCAAAAAACACACGAACGAAGCCATTCTTATTGACATTGCTATTCCTAACACAAACAACATTATTCAAACATACGACACCAAGATTTCAAAATATCTACAATTATCGATAGAAATGAAATCCATGTTGAATCTTAAAAAAATTTCAATTCTACCCCTAATTATCTCTAATGTAGGTGTAGTTCCAAATAGCTTAGTTGAGAATTTAAAGTCTTTGCATTTGAATGATTCAATAATTGTCAAAATTCAAAAAGCTGTTTTGTTAGGAACATGTCATATTGTTCGTAAGTTTCTTGAACAGTCTGATCATGTCAGTCAGATTAGATTAGCACCAGTAGGTCAGAGTAGTGTAGGTCACTTTTCATGTGATGCGCGGATAAATGGTCGGTAGTTACGCTGGACTTTTGGGGATGGGGTGAGATTAGAGAATAATAGCAGACTAATTTGTATGCTGTAATTCTAGAATCTCGAAAGTTGTTCTGTTAATCTAATCAATGCATATCATTACTTGGTCTTAGTACCCGTAATGATAGAAGTCTTGCCTGAATGCCGGTCATTTCCGGGTCAGTGGTGGGTCTTAATAGAGCATTGTATACTTATAAGAACAAGCTGTGTTTAATCTGATCGAAATTTAAAATTGTTCCACCTGAAAGAACCAGATTTTTGGTAACTGAAATATTGACAAAAAAAAAAACAACAACAAAAGGAAAGAACTTAATAAAATAATTCCCATCATATTTTTGTGTTGTTAATTTCAAGGTCACTCTTCCACCTTTGCGGTTCACCACTTGCATCCGAACGCATTCCGCCATTCAAAACACAACGTAGGGTTTCCATTTTGTTGACGATCACAGTTCATGGCCACTTTTCGAATTTTTCGCGGGTTTTCAAATTTTATGCGCATGTCTTCGATTTTGGCGGAATGTTTGGGTTATTACATTGTCAATGTAGATATTTTATTTTAATAAATAGATGAACAGAACATACAGTCTGCACGGGATACAGTGCGGGATAACTGAGGGCAACCGAAACATTCGTGTTGTGCTAGTTTCGATTGCCATGTCAACTACCGCTACCAACCGCGTTCGGCGTAAACTACTAGGTGACAGGGCTACCAACTTGACTTTTTATCGAGTGGTTCCGTAAAAATGACCGCTACTGTAGTTGATGTATTATGATAGAAATTACTGTTTAAATTGGTTTAACGAGATCCCCAACTCAGAGAGGAACGTACATTTATACATAACAAACCTCGGCAACCGCAGGTTTGTTCGATATTTCTAGCACTATTATTTCATGCAAACAATCATTAAACAAGCATGTGCGATGACCAGATAAACACAGATTCCTTCGAAAAACAAGTTGGCAATGTACTGGTTAAGAACTTTTCGGTAATTGATTACATTAGCCACCGCGATTTTGCCGAATCCGTCCCCACAAAAACCTCATACAACACCCCTGATCACGTTCCTATCTAACCTTCAAATGTTGTACAAACATTTCTCATAACATTTTAAGAGTAGGAACGCGATCAGGGTAGGGGCGTTGTATGAGGGTTCTGGAAAAACGGTTTCAGAGAAGTCGCATAGTAGCTAGTGTAAACAATGGTCAAAGACGCTTCCAAAAGATTGAACGTTTAACATAATAGTATATTATTAACTAAGGTTGTGAAGACAGACATTCTAGACCGAGCGCAAATTAGAACCTGAGACGCGCAGCGTCGAGGGCTCTAAAGCGCGAGGTCTAGAATTGGCTTCACAAACGTGGTTAATATACTATTTTTTCCACTAGTAGCCCATTTGAGGTTTGCGAATTTTCAAAATGTTTTTTCTGAAGTGCATCAATAAAAACGTGTACTCACGTCATTTTAGTAAGCTTTGGAATTTTATTATTTTTTGACAATCCAGAAATGGTCCAGAACTTTTGTTTTAATTTCCTCCATATTTCCCGTTTTTAATAAATTTTTGTGTGAAAAATGTTGTAAAGTGAACCATCATGTACCCCTCCTCATTCCGTCGTATTTACGCGACCGCGACAAATTTGGCTGAAAAAGGTATGGACCTTTTATCGTTAAAGCGACACGGGGAATGGAAATCCTCCAGCATAGCAGAAGGATACAACGACGGCTCGATCTTCAATTAAAAAAAAATCGCCGAAATCGTCCAAAGCTCATCTACGGCAAATCAAGTCAAACCAAATCGGAACCATGATTCAGTTTCAGTACCGTAAACTTCATTTTCACTCCCATCAACTTCATCAACGTTGTTTCACCAATTTATCCTCAATTTATAATCAATTCAGGGTTTGGAAATCATTCCAGGGCATAATTTAAAAGCAAATTTTCCAAAATGATCGTTTTCAGGTTATGTCTCAGTTTTTCTGAGAGTTGAGGACAGTTGTCACATTAGGTGGCCAACTTCACGTTTACATTATTGACCAAGGTTCACAAATTTTCCAAATTACAGACCTCTAGACAAGTCGACAATTAGCCATTGTAATGCTACTAGTGGAAAAAAATTATTATTAAATGCTTTGATTAAATGTCAAAGGTCAAAGTTGTCATTTATGTCGGTATAATCGTGTCCTTTTGATGTGGCAAAAATTAATGTCTCTAAATACCGTAAGAGGGACCCATTTGAAAACGCGCGTCATGGCCAACTGGTACGGAAAGAAATTATTCCACCTACCGGAACGTGAATGAATGAAAGATACTCAACCTACCTATTCTACAGCCGTGGACCAAACCAAAACAATGTTCTGCGCACTCCCACCAGCTGTACCCTTTCGTTATGAAAGCTGCTCTACTAATAATAAGATTTAGATTAATTTAACAATTTTCAAAAAAATGTGCTGAGGTTGACATTTTCGTGGAATTGCCCATTTTTTAAATCAAGAACGGCTCACTCCATTTTCCCAGAAAATTTTGGAAAAACAGTACTGTTATTTTTAGTATTACACTGGACCAATCCAAGTTGATAGACGTGTCCTTGCAAAAATGTTGATGACGTCGTCACAAAATTGTGTAAAGAAAAACTCAACTCGAAAATGCTGGATATGTTTCATTGTATTTTAGGAAATTAGGTGCTAGAGAAGTTTTGTCGAAACAACTTTCGACCAATTTTTTTAAATGTGCTATTGGCTTTATAATGTAGCAATACTCCCTTATTGCTTTTAATAAAATTATTATGATTATTATGAATTAGCTAATGTTTTAATTGTTTAATAGGTACCTACAATATGATATGTCCGTAAAAATTATTCAAAAAATCGCAATTCAATTATATTACAGAAATTAAAAGTTTAGTGAGAGTTTGGTTTTTGTTGATTTTATTGTACAAAATAAATTTCTATGAGTAAAATTCAAATTTAGGTATTCTAAAAATTTGTATTTTCACTGAACGTGATTTTGAGATGCGTGGTCCCTAATGAATACCTTTAAGATACGCCATTGAAGCGGCAGCCATATTGAAGCACCTTTTGCTTTCATGCATTTTGGCGCGGGATCACGTATTTGAACTCTCACTCCGTCGTTTATATTAATTTTTTCATGGCATTGACCAAGTAGATATGCATGTATGTACTTAATTAATGTCCATGGTTGAAAGTAAAAAAAGAAACATCCAATCGAGACACTAGACGTCATCTAGTGATATTTGAAAACTTCTGAGTTGGTGTTGGCTAAGTTGGCTTTGTTGGTGTGTGTTCTGTGGTTGGTTGCTTTAGCTCCATTTCCGTAAACACGTGTGTTTGTGTTTGACAACTGTTCGAGTTTCGAGTTTTCCGTGCTGTTCGGTTTAACGTTCATAACCTTAAAGGTTGTTGTGTTCTTTAGTTATTTTACAAATTGTTTTGCATAAATCTCAATCTGGAACCACTGTTTGAACTAAATATTTTGTTTATTAAGTGAAAGTGCACAACACGAGCACAATATTGTAGATATTTGATATTATATTCGTAAGTTGCACGACTAGGTACTGGTAGCATAGTTTTAATGTACAATGTGTTGTTTTCAGTTTCCACAACGTTGGTAGACTAGAATAAACTGGACAAGTTAAGGTAAGTAACAAATATTGATAATGGTATTTATGTTCGCTATAATGTTTATTACTTTAGCATCCATAATTTTATTTTCAATGTGCCAATGTTACCGCACGCTTCATAATAATTAATTATGAATACCCAGGGTTTGTCTCGACATGAATCTGAAATGATAAGCACTATCACAGGCTTCTTTACTCAAAGCCGGAGCATTGTATTGACTTATAATTACCACAGAAGTACGAAGTACATAACAAAAATAATAGGGTGATTTGTATTAAAACAAAATAAAATTCTATCATAGTCATAAATTAAAAATAATAAGTGGACAGAATAATCAAGTCTTTTGATAAGTAAGGACTTTTTGTTTTTGCTGCTTCTATTTATGTATGCTGCTGCAGCTGGGAACGATGAACATTTTGTTGTTTTGTGAAATTATTGTGAAAATACATGACTAGCAATAGTGTAACCAAACATAAGTGGACAAAATTCGTGATATTCCGAAAGATGTGTTGCTGTTTGAAAGAAGGAAATACGATGTTATTCTAAAGAAGAAATACTGATATGAGAAAATTAGCGTCGTATAACGAAGGTATGAAGTATCTATTGACCGTCATTGATGTGTTCTCTAAGTTCGCTTATGTGATACCGTTATATAGCAAAACTGGCTCTGATGTAGCTGCAGCTTTTGAAGAAATTTGTATCGAACAAATCCCTAGCGATATAAAAACCGATAAAGAAAAAGAATTTTTCGCTAAAAATGTTCAAAACTTGTTTAAGAAGAACGGTATCAACTTTTACGTTGCGAAAATTCCCGACGTAAAGGCAGCCATTGTTGAACGTTTTAAGAGAACATTAAAATCAAAAATGTACTTTACTAATGCAAATACTTTTAAATATGTACATAGATGTTTTACAAAATTTCGTCGTTTCTTACAATAATAGCTTTCATCAAACTATAAAAATTGCTCCTGTCGACGTAAATTCTGATAATATCTTGAAAGTTTATCACAATATTAAAAATTCGACATCGACTGTTAGCAAAAGAACTAGGGCGACGAAATACAAAATTGGTGATTACATAAGAATCAGTAAATATAAGCATGCGTTTGAGAAAGGATATGAGACAAATTGGAGTGGGGAGATTTTTAAGATTAGAGCTGTAATATATTACAGTAGAACCCCTCTATAACGAGAACTCAAGGGACCATTGGATTCATTCGCTATAAGCGATTTTTGTAATAAAAAAAAAACAGAAAAAAACATTCCAAAGCTTTAGAATATAGGGGAGGAGGGGGTAATTGTGGCCACTACGTCTAATAGTGGACGAAAGTGCTTTTTTTTTCTTTAATGAGTGAATAAAATCAAAAAACAATTTATTAAAAAAAAATAGGTTAATAGGCAGTTAGCGAAAATACCGAACGTACAACGTATCCGTACAATTTTAACGTAAATGTCTGTACACAAATTGCGAAAATACGAAACGCAGAACTTATCCGTCCAAGTTTAACGTGAACGTCTATACATCTCACGTAATTTAATTTCAAATTTTGCGAAATAACGTACCTATTTTGACAAGCATACGTGTATATGTTGGCGGTAACAATTTATTGTCATTCTGCATTTGGCCTTTGCATTTAATAACCTTGAGTGCTTTACTAAACATGGAGTATACCCTGTATACCTCAAATCAATTAAGAAGACTTTATTTAAGAGGAATTATAAGTATAGAATACTATCACACATTGCTTCAGAATCGAAAAGCATCCATTCAACGTGGTTTCCGGAAAATGAAAACTTTTAGTATCGATAGTATTAGCGATACCGAGTGTGACAAGCTTTTTCGTTTCAACAAAAATGAACTAATGCGTCTGTATAATGGGCTGGGAATTCCAAAAATTTGCACATTAAGCAATGGAATAACATTTTCTGGATTTGAAGGAATGCTCATTTTACTGAGACGGCTTTGTTATCCCAACCGTTTACTGATTTAGAAGCTATATTTTATCGTGACTCCACTGTTATATCAAGAATTGCTAACTGGATGACACATTGCATTTATAACAAGTTTAACCATTTACTTACTGGTATGTTTGGTAATAATACGCGTATTGGTTATTATTCTATATTAAGGTTGAAATGACTTGTGTTAACAGTTCGATGGTTGGAGGGCGAGAGAACGTTGAGAAGAGCCGAACATTACAATTCAAGCGTATCGCATGCGCAGTACCCTTAGTGTAATACTTGCGTACATACCATATATCTCCCCCCTAATCTTTTAACACTTACAGTACTATGAATTACATATTGCACTTAAACTACACATTTTACTTAAACTAACATAATCTCTTAAACTATCACATTTTACTCTAGCTATTTTCCCTCTCCCTCCTTTCGTTTGACATTGACTAAAAGATAAGAAGAGAAAAAAAAAAAATCATTGTCTATATCTTGGAGGTATCTTAACATCTCTTTTTGGTCGGGATAATATGGATGGTTGTTGAGTCATTTGAGGTAATAAGGTGTCGTGATCTGAAATATCGTTTGGAGGCGCAGTTGTCTCTGATGTGCCAGGTATGGGATGAATGTCTTCCGGATGAGTATCTGATCTGAAATAGGATCCCACAGGCAAACCCGTGCATCTCTGCAATGCAAATTTGTTATCGTTTTTTTCTATCTGTTCTTCGGACATTTCGGTTTCTGCAACTGCCGACCTAATTTGATTCAAGTGTCTCTTCCACAATTGTCCCGTTTGCAATCTGCATAGGTATACAACTCTACCAAGTTTTTTTGCAATCTTAGCCCTTATCCATGATTTGTGGTTGAGATTCCTATAATCACGAATAATGACGGAGTCACCTATCTCAAAATTTCTAAATGTTTTCTTACAGGAAGTCGTCTCTACTATTGCAGATCGTGTTTTTAGCAAATCTAAACGTAGTCGTAATTTTCTGCCAAACATTAATTGAGCTGGTATTTCACTTGAAGTACAGTAGCGTCCGGTTATAATGAACTCAAAAAATGTAACAAAACTAGTTCATTATATCCGAAGTTCACTATTAACGGAAAAATAAAAACTGCGTTTGTTTAAATTCAATTTACTTCAATTCTACGTTGGGAACAATTCAAAAAATATTTCTTGGTTTATAAACTAAAAATAAAAAAAAACATAGCTATTTATGTAATTACATATAACAAGACGTCACATAAACACAAGTCTACTTGACAAAATCAGTTATTTTTGTCTGTACATATCTATTAGAAAAGTGAATGTCACTAATATAGCGTTCGAGGTTGCAAAAGCTGTTCCATATAGGCTCCGGAACAGTGCGCGATTCTAAAAAGTTGCGAGTCTCTGCCATTTTTTGCGCCATTTCATTAAGAGAAGGAACATAAACATCAACATCTTCATCAGACTCATTTTCCTCACCCTCGGCCTCGTCACTTGTTGCCATGACTGATGTCACTGATTCTATAATCTGCTCGTCAGTTAGTCTTTCTGTTACCGTTATGTCGTTATCAATTTCCACATATTCTTCAAAATTAAATTCCCCGATTTTCTCTTGCACTGCAATTTCAATTGCATTATCCACATCTGTGAAAATAAGTCCAGGATCATCTTCATGTTTTTTTAACCATTCTGTTAGGGGAAGCTCATCGTCTGCATCAAATTCAGCACTTTTTTCAGAAAATCCTCCATGCTTGAAACAGTTTGCTATTGTATCTTTGCTAACCTTTTGCCAAGCCATGTGAATAAAATTTACAGCATCTAAAATGCTAACTGAAAATGTTTTTCCGTTGTCCATAGCCTCTATCATCTGCGCGAGTAAAATTTTCCTATAATGGCTCTTTAATGAATGAATTACACCTTGATCCATCGGTTGTAATTTTGAACTCGTATTCGGTGGCATAAAAACTAATTTAATTTGGTTTAGTTTAATCTCAGGGTGAGCTGTACAGTTATCAACTAAAAGTACAATTTTCCTATTTTTTTGTTTTAATTGTTCATCCCATTCAAGCAGTTCATTTGTGAAAATTTCAGAGGTCATCCACGCGTTACGGTTTGATTTGTATTTTACGGGCAATTGTTTATTTTTGAAACATCTAGGATTGGCAGATTTGCCTATAACCAACAATTTCCTTTTTTCTGTTCCAGACATATTGGCAGCTACTAAAACTGTAATCCTCAATTTAGATAACTTTCCTCCAGCACAACTTTCTCCCACAAATTTTAAAGTCTTATCAGGAGTCATTTGATAAAAGAGCCCTGTCTCATCAGCGTTAAAAATGTCTTCACTGTCATAGTTTTTCCGAATATGAGGCCAAACATTAGTTAACCAGTCATTAACAACATTCAAATCTACTGCTGCAGACTCACCCACAATTTTTCCTGTTCGGATATTATGTCTTCTTTTAAAACGTTCAATCCAACTTTTAGAACACTTGAAGTCTTTGTTTTCGATTTTACTACCCATTTCATTAGCTTTTTCTTGTAGAATAATACCACTTACAGGAACGTTTTCTTGTCTTTTTTGTGTAAACCACTTAAGAAGCCCTTGATCCATTTCATGGTGCTTTGATTTTCTCATTTTTTTACACGTAGAATTTCCCTGACCATACGCTGATAAAATGGCTTCTCTTTGCTTCCATATCATAGAAACAGTGGATTTTATCAAGTTCATTTCCTGGCTAACATCGCGTTGTTTAACACCACTTTGTATTTTTTGTATAATATCATACTTGTCCTTTAAGGTTAGAGCTTTACGTTTTTGTTTTTCCATTTCGAACAATGTTATTACACAAGTAAGTACTTATGTAGCGCTACTTCGACACAGTGACCAAGAATCGACTGGCACAGAAAGCAAGTTGGTGGGGAAATGCGTAGCGCGTAAATCAGGGAATCCCCGAAAAGTTCATTATAAACGGAAAACTGCACTTTATTTTGAATAATATTTAGTTCATTTTATCCGAAAGTTCATTACAAGCGGATTCAGTGGTTCATTATAACCGAAAAAAAATACATTAGATATATGGAAAAAATTTCGTTACTTGAAATACAGTACACTATAGCCGGAAGTTCATTACAAGCGGGTTCATTATAACCGGACAATACTGTACTATTAGGGATATTGTTATGAATTAACAAAAATCTACATAATAACGTTTGAATATTAACATTACGATTATTAGGATCACTCTATCGTTGTCTCCGATGACAAATTTTTAACTAAATACGCGTCGATCCATTTAGAGTAATAGTCGATTATTACCAAGAAATTGTGATCCCGTAGGTTAAAGTGATCGATATGAATAGTGGTAAAAGGTTCCGAACATTTCGGCCATGGTGCCACTGATTTTGGCGGACTTGATCTAGTTATTAAACAGTGATTGCAAGATTTACACATGTTTTCTATTTCTTTATCGATTTTAGGAAACCAGAGATAAGAACGAGCTAACGCTTTTGTTCGTACTATGCCTTCATGTGAACTGTGTAATTCTTTTAAGACTGTTTGTTCTAATAACGTAGGTATTACTACTCGATGACCATAATATACGCACTCATTATGTCTAATTCCAATTTTCTACAGAAGTACGGTCTTAACTCCCCCTCTACTTTCTTTGGCCAATCGTTCAAAATAAAATACAAGGTGACTGCGAAATACATGCAAAAAAAAAAATGGGGAATAGCTCACAATATGATTATGTCACTGGGTAAAATTCACGGTCCTAAGTAGTAGCAGTGTCTAGAAAAAATTATTTGAAATTCAATGTAAATTGTTGTACGCGCCGCTGGACTGTTTTGTGACCTACATAATTACTACAATGAATGGAACAGAGCGAGTCGGTTAAAGAACCAAAAAAGTTACTTTATCAGGCACTTTTTTAATCGCAACGTGAAAAACACGAAAAGGGCCAGTTAGCATCGAGCGGTCGGTGAAATCGGTTTATGGTGCAGTTTTCCCATGCAGATTGTGTCGATATGGTAATGGGTGCATCAGTGGTACAGCATCTCCGAGATCATGGTACCTTCAACCTCAAACTCACGATCGTGGCCGTGATAGGACAGAAAGAAGAAGTTGGATTTTCACAGCTTGTAGTGCATCCTACATTAAAAGAATACGGCCACATCCATACCATGTTGACAAAGTACAGGGTTTGGAGCCCGCTGATTGTCCACCTTGTGTAACTCACTTTTTGTCCGATGGAACTCCACGTAGTCGTCAACAAGTACGATTTCAAGAGACGGTTTTCGATAAATGTGTATCAGTTGGATGAAACAGTTCGTTTGTGGAAATCAACAGTGTCCAGAAATTATCGAAGAGCTTCAACAAGTGAAAGTGACACCCGCTACTCCGGTGTTTTTTTACCTATCAACAAACCTCTTGCGACGCTCTGACGCCTGTATTGCTAGTCAAGGACAACATTTTCAACATTTCTTGTAAAAAGGTAGTAGCATTCTAAGTTGCTCTTATTTCTGTTCCAATAAACAACGTAAAATCGTTGTGACAAGGACCAAACATCCGTCAGAATCAAAATTACCAAAAAACTTTCACACTGACCTTTAACGATGAATGAGTAAATGAATGAACGAATGATAAGCAGCAAAAAGTCGGTTTTACTTTTAATTGAAACTGAAAGTGTTTAGGTCGTTTTTATTCAAACGTTTTTCCAACTCTGTTTACAAGGTGGCTCAGTGCCTTCGTATTGAGGGTGGTTCATGGGGGTTTTGCCCCATTCGATTTTTAATTTCTTTTTTCTATATTTCGGCTCTACTAGGGTGGGGGATGCCGTGGTTAAAATATTTGCACTTATTTCGCAGTCACCCTGTATTTTACTTGAGATAAAAGTCTATCATTATTTGTTGCCTCCACTATCGTTTTATTATCCACTGGTGAGTCTAAACTAGCAAATAAAATATTCTCCATATCATTGTCCTCACTGGAATCTACTTTTAAATTTAAAGGCAATCTTGAGAGACAATCAGCTACTGAATTAGATTTTCCGCTGATGTGTACAATATCAAAGTTAAAATTTGAAAAATAGAGCGCATATCTTTTAATTCTGTTCGCGTGCATAGGATTAATGTCTGATTTCTTCCCAAATATGCTAATTAACGATTTCTGATCCGTTTTTAGAGTGAATTTCTTACCGTACAGATATTCCTCAAATTTATTAATACCAAAATAGCAAGCTAGCGCTTCTTTGTGTACCGTCGAATAATTTCGTTCCGCGTTACTATACGCACGCGACTGTACGTTCAACACCGTTAACATTGTGAGATAATATAGCTGCTATACCTGTTTCAGAAGCATCACAGGTTACTATTATTGGTAATTCGGGGTTGAAGTACATTAACACATCGTCTGACAAAATAACTTCTTTAATTTTTGAGAATGCACTCTCGCAAGCTTCTGACCATTGAAATCTGACGTTACTTTGAAGTAACTTGTACATTGGTGACAATATATCTGTGATATTAGGTACAAACTTAGAATAATATCCTACCATGCCTATGAATGATCTAAGTTGTGTGATATTTTTAGGTTGTGGTGCATTTGAAATAGCTTTAACTTTGTCTTTATTTTTAGTTAATCCTGCAGCTGTTAGATCAAAACCTAAATAAGAAATTCTATCTTGACTAAATTTACACTTATCAAGATTTACCGTTAAACCTGCATCAGATAGTATTTGAAAAACTTTCCGTAATATTAGCATGTGATTTTCATTTGCTCTATGACGTACTAATATATCATCTTGAAATACAAAAACATTATCTACACCTTGAAAAATTTGTTCTATATGTTTTTAACAATAAAAACTAGCACATTTAATTCCAAATGGCATACGATTCATTTTGTATAATCCCTTATGTGTGGATATTGTGACTAAATGCTTTGACTTCTCATCTAATTCAAATTGCCGATAAGCGTCCTTTAAATCGATTTTAGAAAATTTTACGTTATCGTGCAATGATGCAAAAATCTGTTCAATCTTTGGTAAAGGGTAATACCACTGCCTCCTTTACTAACAAGCCGTGCTGTACGAACTGGCAACAGCGCCTAGGAACCGATACGGAGGCCGGCCGCATACGTCGATGCCGAGCCGAGCTAAAGCCGCACAGGAAAAGTAATATATATTAATTATATTATATATACATATGGATGTCTTTAGCTATGGCTCCTTGTCAAGCCAACACACCATTTATTCTTACTCTACCAAAAATATACTATTTCTTTTGCAAAAAAAAACACAGAAAAGTCAATGAAATTTAATAATTTATTAGGTACTACAATTCATACATAGACAAGCAGATAACATCATATAACATTAAAAATCAAAGGCACTGAAATGACTAAATTAAGTTGAATTAGGAAACACTGTTGCATAATAAAAAAATTAATTTAAGAAAGAGTTTTTAGTTTTCTTTTTTTTTGTCCCGAATGCAGCACACATTTGTGTCTTTGTATAGTTATTTAAAAGTATATTTGCAAATGTTGAGGATATCTGTTTAAAAACTTCTTTTATATTTTCACCACACAAGCAATGAGAATCAAAATCTGCGAAAAAATGGCACGATTCTAAACTCAACATTGTCAACTTTATAAGAACAAATTTTGAATTTGTTAATAACAAGAACTTCTCCTCAAATTGTCGGTCATCAACGATATATTCCAATAATGCATATATCGAGCGAGCAATATAATTTGTAATCGAGTCATTTCTTGATTTTCATTTGTTTCGGAAAGGTCACGTCGATGATTGATCCACATAGTTCATAACTTCATAATTAAATTGACAGATCGAAAGAAAAAAATGGCGTGAACTCAAAACGGAATTTAAATAATGAATTAATGAATGATTAACCATTTAAATCTTCAGATTTTTTATTTAGTAAGACTCATCTTCTTTGTTTTGAACGTATCCTGAAATGTGGGGGCGAATTCAGTGAATATAATTCCATAAAGTCTGACCACAGTAAAGGAATCGACTTTTAAATCGATGATGGTTTGTTTTCACCTTAATGAGGTAAATCGACTTGTGCAAACACATTTTTCAGCCAAAAACAAACCAAAATTTTGAATTTTCATCATTTACTTTTTAATAAAAAAAAAATAACACTTAAATTCACAATTAATTTCCATTAGAGCATTAAACACTTTATTTAAAGTCCCCATTCACAATAAATGCTGAAAATGTTTCCCATTTTCTTGTAAACACAGCAAAGCTCTTCTTCGAACTGCATCAATGACATTGTTCAACATAACCTCATTGTTGTTTATTTCGTTGATTTTTTGGGTTATTCTGTTCCTTAAATCTTCCAAATCATTAACAGAAGTACAATAAATTGTGTTCTTTAAATGCGGCCAGAGAAAAAAATCAGCAGGTGTAAGATCACATGATCTTGGAGGCCAGATGTGTTCAGTATTTCGACTTATGACTCTTTGGTCAAAAAACTCTCGTAATGTCGCTATTGTTATTTGAGCAGTATGTGCTGTGGCACCGTCTTGTTGGAAAAAACCAAAAGCTAATTCATCATCATGGAGTTCTCTTATGAATGGCCCCAAAATTTCTTCCAGATATCGAATGGCTGTTAAATTGCCTAAAAAATGATAAGTTGAGGAAGAAAGTTAAAACTTTAGTTTTCATTTTCTTACCATTAAAAAAGAATGGGCCTATGATGCGTCTTCGGCTAATTGCAGCCCAAACACCAATTTTTTGTGCATGAAGTGGGGCCTCAACATAAAAAGGTGGTTTCTCTTGGCTCCACATTCGCATATTT